TGTGTGTGTGTGTGTATGCGCGCAACGTTTTCGGCGTCGTAGAAAAGGGCATAAACCACGATTCTTTATTTGATCGATTACCGCACCGAGGAAATCGAATGCCGCCAGAAAGGAGAGAAAGCTGTTGAGTGCGCGCGCTAATTGAAGGGATTTCTCTTTTCGAAATTTCTGGTGGAACTGGCCGGAAGCGTCGACTGAACGCGCGCCTTCGACCGTTCGCGCGACGGATAACGATGAAAACCAAAGCGACGGATTGTCCCCGATCGATCGCCACCCGATTCTTTGTCACGCATGTTTTTATTATATATTTATTGAAGAGGGGAAGGTTAATATCTCGAATCGTTCGAAATGCGCGTTCGTCGACGCCTCCTCCCGCGTCAGCGTGATGATAAGTCACGACAACATTAATCTAAAGCTATTATATATTTGTAAAGCATTATTTATTATATTAATCGTTCGTACGCGAAACCACGTAAGTATCAGTGTTTCGAACGTAGTATTATCATGATACGTAATTTTTATCCTTATCGAAAATACTGTTTCTTTTCTTTTCTTTTCTTTTCTTTTCTTTTCTTTTTTTTACGTGGTTTCGTCTATATCGCGGGGAAACAACTGCGCCAACGATAAATCAATCGAGACGAATGAACGATACACAGCGTGTTATTTAAATACTGGACGCAGCGATCGCACTACTTTCTGTGGCGTTTTACATTGTCGGAGGAATTATCATGGATCAGAGGCTCGGAATGACAATAGCTCCGATTATAATTCGAACACACCTCTGAGCAGACCGAAAGATCAGTGTTTACAGATCTGCGGCATACGCGTGTTTCTTAAGGTTTTTTTAAGACACATCACAAGACTGTATTAATCGTGATCGGCGTTATTCGTGGAAGGATCTCGTATCTATCCCCTCACATCCCCCTACGTTTCTATGCGCCCATCCCTTTATTATCCCACTTTTCCCCCCTTTTCACTTGTATTTTTTTACGTTATTTTCCTCGCGTGAATTTTCTATATTTTATACGGCATGTTTGTACAATTATTGTTGATAATTTTCTGCGAAGAGTCGCCGACAACGATGTTGTTTCGATG